TGCTTTTAGTATTCTTCTCTCATCGCTCGCCGACTCATTTGGTTCGCGAGCACGCTTTCGCATGGCGCTCTACAGAAGTTTGGTTCTTGGATCTGTGTGCTTATTATGTATTGAAAATGTGGTCATTTGCTAGTGTAGATAAATACTGAAATAATTAATAAAGACTACATGTTTTTGTTTGGCTTTTTTTTTGAATAATACGCCGCCCAAATTTATATGGTACTGGCTAATTTACTCTTCAAATCTAGATATTTGCTAATTTAAGCTCTGTCCAGTCTTCTAGAACTATAATAATGGACCCGGTGCTTTTCAAAGCAAAAATAATCAAGAAAAAAGACGACGTGTAACCAGCTAAGCAGCCCGATAGGCTAGAGAGAGCCATTGATCTCATCTTTCTTCATTCTGTCATTTTTCTTAATCCTAACTAGTATTTAGACCCGTGCAAAGCACGGTTTCTAAAAGATTTTCTGTAAATATTAAACACGTTACCAAATTAAATTATTCTACTTTAGATATGAAGTATAGTGGTGGACGTGAACCGAATAATTAATAAACAGTTCGGTTATTATTCGTCCACATATTCGCAGAAGTTTATTTTGATAGTTCATTTATTACTAAACAAATAATTTTTAGTGTTCGGCTTATAAAGAATAGAATCTAACCAAAGGTTGTTTGATTCGGTAGTTCATTAACAATTTGATTCGATTAATTTTTTAGAATTTAACCAAATATATGTTCGATTCTAATAATGCATGTTATATATGCGTTTGCTTATTAATCATGAAACCAATGGGAAAGTTATAAAGTATTATCTACAGATCTAATCCAAAGAACTCAACTTTAGAAAAAAAATTGAGATAACATTTGTCATGTGCATTACGATTTGGCCTAATTGTGTGCCAGTATCACATAAAAAAAAGGAGTTGAAGATTTTGTTTTTGTTTTTTTTTTCATTAAGAGCGGTGGTGTACATGCATGTACATCTACAAATGAGAATCACATTTTTTTTCTAACAATCTCATCTTTTTTATAAAAGTTTTGGCGTAATTCATATGAATCGGCGGGAAATAAAAATTTCTATGATTTAAGGGACTAACTTATAAATATGAAAATTTTAAGGCTAAAACTCCAAAATAAAATCTTAAAAAGGAACTACCTTTAGAAAACCTTAATCCCAAATTTTTAGGGTTGGCAAACAATCATCATATCCTTTCAAGAACTCATCAAAACCCTAAATTAAGTATGAAAATCATAAAAATGAATAAAACCAATAAAGATAAACAAACTAAACCTGAGGAATTCTTATCGGAGAGGACCTGATAATCACATTTTATTATAATTTTATACCCTCATTATCTATTTTTTTATGAATAAATATACCATTAATAATTGTTTTTATCTTTTAATTGCAGGTTAATGAAGAATAAATTTTTTATCTTTTAATTGCAGGTTAATGAAGAATAAATCTCAAACTCTCATCTCTCAACAAAGACCCCTTGATTTAACACCAAAGCCAACTCTCATCTCTCAACAAAGACCCCTTGATTTAACACCAAAGCCCAAAGCCAAAAGCAAAAGAATGAAGTCCATGAAGCCAAATAATTTCTTTCAATATTAAATGAAGCATTAAAGCCCAAAATGTCAAGAAAATGTCCAAAAGTCCAAGCCCAAAAGCCCAAGAAAAATAAATATACCATCAAGGAACAAATGAAGAAGTTTTGTGAAAAATGAAACAAATCATGCAATCTGTATTTTGGCCATATCTCTCTCGTATCAACTCATAATTGGCTGAATAAACATTCTCTGGAAAGCTAAGAACGAGATCTATAACTTTTGTATTTATGACATCTCTGAAATCGGAACTTATCATGGACAAATATTCATACAAAGAAGCATGATCTGAATTTCTCTACTGGAGAAGTAATTATGGGAAGAATTTGAAGGTTAATGAAGAATAAAGCTCAAGATCTCTTCTTTCAGTAAAAGCCCATTGAATTAATGAAGAAAACAAGCAAAAGATCCAAGAATTCAAGCTCAAAAGCTCAAAGGCTAAAAATGATTCCTTAGGGCTTAAGTCTTCATCCAAGGGCTCTCATTCATTATTGTTTACTATAAATATGGGTAGAGAGTGAGGGGTTAAGGGTGTAAAAATTTTTGTAACTTCTTTTGGAGAGGAGGGCTACTCTTAATTGAGAAGGCCTTCTAAATTTGTAACTTTTTGTTACAATTAATAAAATAATTTTTTCACCACTTTAAATTTTTCTCTTCTTCTCTTTGTTGGATGATGAAGATGAAGATGAAGATGGAGATTAATTTGAAGGTTTGTTTTTCTTATTCCTCTTTTATTGCTTATTAGTTTAGATTTATTTACATGCTTGTAATTAGATTTTATTTTTTTTGTTTAAATAGCCAAGAGGCTAGAACCCTCTTGTCTTAGATTTATTTCATGCTCATAGATTAGATTTATTTCATGCTTATAGAGTAGATTTATTTTCTTGCATTTAATTCTTACAATTTATTTTATAGTTTAGATTTTGTAATTTATTTTGTAGTTAGATTTTAATTTCTTGCACTATTCACTTTGAGGCTAAAACCCTCTTGGGTTTAGTTTTTTTTTTTTTTGTTTTTTTTCACTTTCTTTGATTCGCCTTTAGGCTAGAACCCTCTAGGGAATCACCTTTTTCTAAGAAGTGGATTCAATTCTAGATTACCCATATCTTTAATTGAATCCGCTATCTTTACATTCTTGATTTTTTATTTGTTTCTCGATTTTATTCATTCTTCCTTCTTGCCTTGTTGATCACATTTTTTTTTACTCACATCCACTCTCAAAAACATTGATTTACACACTATCACTTTCACTATCATTATCTCTCCACAATCACATTCACTCATCACTCCTATTTGTCACGCACACAACATAAGAACCGATTTTATATTTTCTCCTCCAAAACACCTTCCTCGTGGGATCGATATCTTTATACTATAACTTGACACGGTTGTGCACTTGCAACATATTTTGGTACATAATTATGCCGCATCAGGACCACATCTGAACCTAGTCATCGCTGGCTTCAAGATCGATCAGCACGCCGCCGTCGCTCGCCGGAATCACCGCAGGTGGTGGCGCCAATGGCTGCGAAGGGCGCGAACTCTGAGCCGCAGTTCTGGGGACAGACTTTGCAAGAGAAACCCTGGAGCTCCTCTCGTGCGTCGCTTTGAAGACGAATTAGTGCTCATAATCTCTACAAATTCAATCAAAGATGGAGTCTTTAATTGAGGGTAATTTCCTAATTGATGAAAAAGAGTGAAGGATCAGAGAGAGAATCTGAGATTTTGATGAGATCGAAGTTCGAGAGTTTAAATACTTGGAGATTGGAAATGGACTCGAAAGGAGAGAGAAATGGGGGGGGGGAATATATATTGTTACGGGGTTTTTATAGTTAATTTTGGGTGTAGAAGAGAAGGAAAAACCGCAAGAGACGTGGAAGTTGCATGTTGGCTTAAGGGAGCAGCTGGTTATTTGATTGGAAGTGATTGTGAAACGAAGTTTGGAGAGAGAGTATGGAGATAAGTTAGAATTTTTTAAAAAAAAATAAGATTGGCCCAACGTTATTTCATTGTTCATCTCATTGTTCTCCTTTAGTTAAAAGTAGTAGATGCCTCGTGATGTTTCTTTGATTGACACTTTTTGCCTTTTTGTTCTTGTTAGGTCATATTTGACTTTGTTTGGCCGGGGTCATGTGTCATTTTCACCAACGCTAGAAGATAAGATGAAAGGGTGACAATAGATTGCTCTTTCGCGGTGCCTTCAGCTTATGCCACTCTTAAATCAAGAAAGATCCAACGAAAATGGAGCAAACATAGTCTCATACCTTTTATACACACACACAAAAGTTTAACGTACGAAGAAAATCACAATAGGGGAACTACACTTAACGATATGGTTTTAACCTAATTTATAAACACATCTTGTTTCAGTAGAAGATTCGAGACTATTATAATTATCCATCATAGATAGTTGTCGAAGTGTAAAATAAGATAAGGTTTATTGAGAATAGACCCACTCTAGTATTACTCGATTGAGTATAGACCCTATGTAGTTCTAGTTGTGAGAAGAGACCGACTGAGTGAACTTTTTTACTCTTAAAATTATTAAAAATATTTCATATGATGGATAGACCCTTTATTGTTCTATTGGTAAGGACAGACCTCCAATTACTCTTTTTTTTTTAACTTCTTAAAGAGTCGAAATTTTTCACTAAAGGATTGAATGGGCGCTTAGGCCAATATTACGTGGGATCTATTCACACAAATGGGGCATAAAGGGTCTATTCGCAATTCGCAATTGGGTGGTACAAGATCACACTGAAAATGATGGGCTTTTTAAGCAATACTTTCTAGATCCCTTTCTTGTAAAAATGTCATACGCCTTCAACAACCGTGCTAGAACTTCCAATATCCCCACGGAGAGAGTTAAATCCATCCCCATCCAACATCTGCCGCTTTGATGACCATTTGACCAATCTTTTGATGCTCGGATGCAAAGGGTCACTACGCTGCCACCATACATGCGCACATCGGATAACCCTACTCCCAAAAGTCACATCCCTAAACATCGAGTCGCCATCAACAAATAACATGAACGTTCCTCTTTGATTTGTGGCCCCTCGGGAATCAAAAAGAAAACAATGCAAACTGCATCACTCAGACTCCACTCCATCCCTTTCTTGATACAGCTTTGCCCTCTTATACCTTACTAAGTCCTCGAAATACAACAAAAGCATCAAATTCCTTTTTGCATCATGCTGCAATCCCAATTCCTTTCCCACGGGACACATTTCTACCACTCCCCCATTTAAGCCCACACAACACAAAGCAACTTTTAACAAACAT